CGGTTGACGAGACTTCCCGGGTAGCAGAGCGGATACCTCATACTTGCTCGCTGGGCGTCAGCCCGTTGATTCACTTATGGAGAAGGAACGAGTGTGAGTAATCACTAACCTGCCGACTGACCGACTAAATGGCAGATACTACCCACTTCTTCCTCCGCTGGTGGGACCGTGAAAACTGGCATTTCCACAGACTTCGCGCGCCCACCTGGCGGGTTATGCGCACTTCAAGGCGTGCGGATTCAATTTATCCGTTTGTACTCTTCCCACCACTTTGGCCATTAATGCCATAGCCCAGGGCAAGAACAAAATGCGCATGACAAAGTGAAGTGCAGGCGGACTGGCATAGAGAATTATGATAAGCGGGCCTCTGTGTGAAGCCACTCGTATAAACAAGAGTGCCTGAATATTTATGTGAGGATTATTGGGAAGTATAAACAAGTATTTCTAGTAAGGCGAGATTCCCGGCGGTTCCCGTGTCCGCCCTCTTCTCTGTCCTCCGCGGGATTGCTGAAGATAATTATCAGTCTTGTCAATTAGTTCGGATATATTTAAGAATAGATTCGGTCCTTTGTGACGATACCAACAAATGCATTTTAAACATTAATTGAGCCTAGAATATCCCTGTTATGTGGCATGCGTTAACAGGAAAGAGGTTTCTAACTTCAGTGAAGTTACTAAAGACGCATCCGAGTGCTGTGAGTGAAATGGGAAATCCCTAGATCAATAACAGCAAATGCTACGGACGGTGTTTAAAGTCCAGGGTTTAACAACAGCTGCACTTTAAGCGTTATCAAAACAAAACCCTTCGGATTTTTTGCCCAAAATGGCCGTATACGGCATCCATGGAATACTGGCATTATACATTTAACCACCTGAATGTTGACGGATAAAAGCCTCTAGAGGCAGTTATTTTGTCCCGTGTGCACAGTGATGTTAGGTACAGCATTTGCTATGTCCTCCTCCTCCTCCTCCTCCTCCTCCTCTTTCTTCTTCTCCTTCTTCTTCTTCTTCTTTTTCTTCTTCTCTTCCTCCTGAGATAGTAGCATATGCTTAACTCGCAAAGGAAAGTGATGTCACAGCTTAGGTCAGATGCACTCCTATTATTCAAAAGTCGTTATATCCGGTTGGACTAAAGTAGGTGGGCTAACTCATGAAATGTCAACCAAAATTCTGAAATGCGTTTTCGTTTTGAAAAGATGGCTAGGTCGCAGTTGGTAGCCCAGCCCCGTATTACAGGTGGCTGGAGGTCTGTTTACTGGGGCTATTTTGTGGGGCTCCATAATCACATGTGACCCATTTGGCTTCCGTTTTAGGGTTGAGGTTAGGATTAGGGTACCGGTTAATAGTTTCCGACTTTCGGGTTAGGGTTATGCATTTAGGCTTAGGTTTTCGGGTTACGGTTAGGGTTTGAGCGTACGATTATGTTTCAGTATTACGGTTAGGTTTTTCAATTACGCCTATGCCTAAGGGTTACAGTTACGCTTACCATCTCGGTTAGGGTTAGGGTTGCCGTTAGGGTTAACAGTTAACGTTTAATGTTGGCGTCAGGTCTAGGGTTAAGGTTAGGATTAGGGTTAGGTCGCCGTCCGCTTCCCATTCCTGGCTACCAACTGCGATCTAACCGAAAAGATTAAACAAGTGAATTTGTAAGACTAATCATCTTGCAGCACAATTCTATGATAATTCAGTTACTTCAGGGTGCCGGCTTTCGAACGAATTTCTTTCCGGCTGCATGCAAATACGATGCTCTGTAAAAAATGACTGCTTAAGTAGCATGTATTTCTCGTTGCTTTTCAATGCCTTTAAAAAATCAATTATATTTCATGGAAAGCATGCATAAAAATAAGCACTATTTTGCTCATTCGGTAGAAAATGCCGTCCTCTTATGATTTTATACCCCAAGGAAAGGTACAATTAGATTTTCAAAGACTTTCAACATTCCAAAATAATTTTGAACCAAGACCTTCCGTTACACTTGCATTTAGGGTTTCCAAACTACAAACCGTATATTTTCTGCGTACGGAAAACCACAGATTTTTCTACGGTAATAAGAGGAGACTATATGGGTTCCATAAAGTTTAGCTGTGGGTTTGAGCCATATAGGTAAGTGCAGAGTCATGACGTTTTATGAACGACCATTTCGTGGTATTAAAGATCTCACAATTAGAAACTTTTTAAAACCAAATTATACCCTTCCTTTTAGTATAAAATTGGAAAAAAGACGTAATTCTCTACCGAATTAGCAAAAGGATGAATATTTATATGCATTTTTCCACGAAATATAATTGAGTGTTTAAAAGCATTGAAAAACAAGGATAAAAATGCATGCTACTTAGGTAGTCATTTTTTACAGAGTATCGCATTTGCCGGCACCCTGAGGTAACTAAATTATTATGCAATTGTGCTGCACGATGATTAGTTTTACAACTTCACTTGATTAGTATTTTCAAAGCGAAAACGCATTTCGGAATTTCAGTTGACATTTAATGAGTTAGCCCACCGATTGCGAGCCTTAAAGTGGATTTGCCAGTCGCGGATGATAGAGAGCCGCGCTGCCTCTTTGGAACATCCTATACCTAATTAACCCATTCCAGTGGACGCGGCTTCTTGTTCCTTTTGGTCCCTGTGAAGAAAGAATCCATTATCACAAATCTCATTTGTTTTCCATCTAATTCAATCGAAAGACGCATAACACTTGCGTCTGATTCCGGCCAAGTGAATAGAGAGGGAACTAAGAAGAATAAAAGGTGAACTTCTGAACTTCCCAGGACCTTCCAGAAAATAGTTAGACAACTACAGTGCAAAAAACGTTGTTTCCTATGCTATGATTGGCAGGTGGAGGAGGAGGATGGGTCTCCACTATGATTCTTTTCCTTCCAACACAATTTTCCAGTCGCCTTCTGTTTCGGCTCCACTGCCCCTGCTACAAACGCGTTCCAATACTTGCGACGCGGCTGTAGGGGGAGGGTGGGGTTGGGCTGATAAGGGGAAGTGCGAGGAATTTTGCAGTATTGCTAGGAATGATCTGTCCCCCACACAAAATGCTTTAACCGCGGCAAGCTATTAGGTTCGTCCTGTCCTGCAAGGCAGGCGTAGCCTTAAACTATGCGAACTAGCTTTTAATGACACAGACCTGTGTTATATCTCCCTCATTCGTTCTTCCTACTCCAGTCGGCAAAAGACAAAGTTATGACGATCAAAGGTGGGCGTGGGCGCATTTTCTGGTCGTTTAATAACTTATCTAGTCGTGCCACACACGACCTGCTTCGTAACCGCACACACACGCACACATACACACACATACACACACACACACCAGACTTCATCGTGGAGGCACGGATCACTGGGATCAAACAGTAGACGTAGACTGTGAAGTTCCAGTACGTTCCAGCTACAATTCTAACGACACTTCTGGTCGTCACTTTGGAGATAATGGTGCTTGCACCTGTGCTACCACTACTGACGCTGGTGATCGTACCTTACAGTCGTCCAGAGCAGCCGCACATTGACAACAAATTGGCTCAGTATCCTGAGGACACAGAAATCTTTTCCTCGAGAGTGCCGAAATCATTTTGGTTGCATTCTCTGCCAGTCAAAATTCTAAGTCTTGCTCCTGATATCTTAGTCCCAGTTTTTCCCGTATCTAACACAACGAACATTGTTTCTGGTGGCAATGCTTTGCCTGGACCCATCCGATCCGAGATCGTGCTGAGCTCGTTCACAGGCTAGTTAGTGACTATTCCAAAGTCCACCGAACTGACAGATAAAATCATAGACGCAAAATCAACGTACAGGGAATAATCAGATAAGATGTAAAAGGGGCCTGACAAGCTTTGTTGAGAACTGTAGGATGAAGGGCCCCACTAATCTGTCGGTAGACTGTGGATCGCGTAATATGGGGTTTTTTCCTGACATCCATTTACGGACATTATACCACCAACGAAAATTACTTCCCGTGCCCACAAACCACTACTGACACTCCGTTGTTTTTTGAAATTTACTTTATATTTACTTTTGATTAACGCGCTAATTTCAGTTGCTACGCAAAAGCTTAAGATAAGGCTTTCGGCAGAAATCCAAACAATTTCTGCGTTTTCTTGCATCTCGTCAACTTATTGTCTGCTGTGCTACCCCACCCGTAAAACCCCCTTTTACCACCATTCGCGTCTGACACGATCCACCGACAGATAAACGAAGTCCTTCACCCTACCGTTGCCGTTTTTGTTT